CTCCCTAATTTAAACCAACTGTGTTAAACTCATAAACTCAGTCATAGCTACAGTTTTGTTGATTGTCAGAGCTGTAGGTAAGGATCAATGAGCTTTTAAGATGAATTTACTGATTTGTGTGTGTATGTGCCTGGTTTATCTTTTATGTATTATGAAGAGACTATCTGAAAGCAGGCTCTCAGAGAAAGCGAGATGGGCAGGAAATACATCTTTAAGAAATCTCTATGGAAAATTGTCGTAGTTTGGCAGGGGGGCCTGCAAATGTCAAGAATGTATAATATGTTCTTTGATTTTCTTGAGCTCTAAAACAATGTTTATATTGGACTTATGTTAATTTGGACCTATGGAGAGATGTCACTGCCTCAGATCAGCTAATGTACTGAAACTCACACCAGCTCTACAGAGAACCCAAATGAAAAACTGCAAGCTTGCAAAGAACAAAGGAAAAGGCATGCTTGGACTGCTACATCCATTGGAAAATACATAGTTTCACATTTAGAAGCAATTCTGCACTTTTTCCCTCAACTGACTATACCTCCTGATTTCCAAAACATGGGAGGGTTCAGTACTATGAGACAGTTTTCACATAATGCAGGTATAAAACATACTGTAAATAGATTTAGGTTGTAAACTGACATTTTGTGCATTTGGATATTGTGCAGGACAGTTTTTTTACTTCTCTCTGGAAGTTATTAACCAGCTTACATTTCACATGGAACTTTAAAGCTTAGGACTTTATCTAGATTGCTGTCCATTTTGATATTATTTTTCATTATTACCCGTCCAATGGAATCACATAGGTAGCTCCTGTGTTATAGCCTTCACTATGGTGATTGGTACCTATTTTAAGGAACCCTTTTGACTCTCTCAGTCTGATTCTGGTCTTATTCAAGCTGGTATAAACCTGAAAATTGAATGTAGCTGCTCCACAGCTGGTTTAAGAAAACCAGTCTCAACTAAGTAAGCTCTTGAAAGACAGTTCCTATTCTATATCACAAAATCATAACATCAAAA